CGAACAAGATTGGGAAGCGGTCCGCAAGGGCATCATCACCAAGCCATACATCCATCCAGAAGGAGGTTTGCTCACCATTGCTGATGCTTACTGTTGTGATGGCCTGGTATAAATGCAAGATGGATCTTAGAATGTCCTAGTGTTCGCCGTGGAGATTGCCTTTCAGAGAGGCTATACAAGCTCTACTTCTCACCCACTGTGCCCATGCAGACGATTCCACATAATGCAGCTTGTGTACTAGTTTTAGTAGCAAACAAATGTTTTGAGTTCCAATATCCTTAATTCCAAGACCCCCTTGCTCTTTGGTGTTGCATAGTTTCTGCCATGCCACCAGACACTTTGCCGCTGACACATTTCCATTGCCATCCCCTGACCATAGGAAGGCACGTCTTCTTTTGTCAAGTTGTTGTATTACTGCTGGAGGTAAAGGCAATGAGCTCATGAAATACACCAATTGGCTATCCATCACTGCATTCACTAGAACTGCACAACCCATTAGATTCAGTAAATGAGATTGCCATGTTGCCAGATATTTGTTAGTTTTATGTATGTTGACGGTCACTAACACCAATTATAAACCATCAATATAACCTGCATATATACTTAATTCTATCACCAAACATAAGTATAGGGGTTTAAACTAATGAATTCCATGAGTTTTGGTGAATCTGTGAATGTATGAGGGTTTATCAAGAAAATCGTCAAGGGGGACTTAATTGTCAGATTACATCATGATTATCCATGATGTAAACTACTTGGGAAGGATCTAGAACACACCAGAAGGCAACCCACCGAAGCAAGCCTCGAAAGGCTAACATGTGGGGCCGGCCGGCCCCACCTGCAGGCCGCCCGACATGTGGGTCCCGCTGGTCAGTCTCTACTTCGACGCCGGTTCTTCCACCGCTATTGAGGATCAATCAACGCCGTTGCTCAATGTCGGTTCAAATAGAGGGAAGAGATAGAGCCATGCTATGCATTTATGAGCTCAATTCAGAATTTGGCCCATAAAGGCCCATGTGCATTTTAATGAGATATTGTGTAAAGTTTAGTACCAATGAGGCTACTAAGAGGGGGAGGGTGCCAGGCGCCCCTCATAAATAGCAGCCCCTACCCCTCTCCTGGAGCCATCCTTAAAACCCTAATTCATATCTTCAGGATTGAGCCAGCAATCAAGAGAATATTAGTCCTCCATAGGATCTAGTCTTATAAATAATAGTAACATAGAGTGTGAGGGAAGAGTTTAGAGGAAGTGTCGGCCTATCGGTGCTCTCTCTATGGTTTGTACCTTGGTGGATCCAAGTTCTATTTGAGCTTGCTTCTGAGACTTCTCTGAGACTTCTCTGGTAATCAACTTCTGATTTAAGTAAGCATCTTGTTTATATTGTTCATCAGGATCGCGACTCTTTTGAGTGCTTTGTTCTCTTCTAGGGGGAGTAAAGTATTAATCGTAAGTGTAAGCGTGGTGATTAGACTTAGGTTAATCATGGATGCACCCTACATTTCGGATCGGTGGTAGCTCGCGAGGGTGACTTTTATAGCCTCGTTGAATCATTTGTAGTCCACCTCCCGTTTGTAGCTAAGTAACACCCAGTTACGAAGGAAAGCATCATCTGTTGGTGTCTTTCCCTTAGTAATATCTCCAGTCGAATAGTAGAAGACATAGCTTACCGAGGTCAGAACTAGAGAACCTTACTTATCCTCTCTACGCTCTTGTTTATCCTAACATTGTTGCTATCTTTAGTTAAGTTAGACTGTAGTTAGTCTCACACGTTTTCCTTTGGATACGATACTTGGAATACTTCCAGGGGTAAAAGCTACAACAGTATCCGTGCGCTTACGAATTTATATGTGTACGTTAATAAATACCAACAATGTATGTACGGTGTGTAAGCTGACAGAGGCAGTTTATGAGTAGAAAGAGGTAAACCCAGATAGGTTCGAGGGAAGCCCTCTCTTCTGCAACCCAAGGCTTCAACACAAGCCTGCACCGATTGTTCATCCATGTGAATGGGTACCACCGTGCTCTTGGAGTAGTTGATGTGCAGACTAGTCATGCTTGCAAAGCGATCAAGGATTGTCTTCAGAAGTGTTACTCCATGGAGATCACCTCGAAGGACAATGAGTGTATCGTCGGCGTATTGAAGCACAGCACATGGCAGATCACTATTGACCGGGTGTGATAGGCTTTCCGAATTGGACTTGATCAGCCACCAGCAGAAAGAGGTAAGGTGATAAAGGGTCACCTTGGCGTAAGCCCCGTTTGCAAGTTATCCACGGTCCAGGGCTACCATTTACCAAGACAGCTGATTTGGAGGAAGTCAGTATCATACGCATCCAACTGATCCAAAGGTCATCAAATCCACGTGCAGTCAACACTTTGAACAAACCGTCCCAGTTTACAGTGTCAAATGCCTTTGCAAAGTCTAGTTTGAGCACAATAGCCGGCAGTTTCCTTTTGTGGCAAACTTGAACTAGTTCAATTGCATGAATGAAGGTTTCTGCAATTGACCGTCCCTTAATGAAGCCGGTTTGATTCGGGTCAATTAACGGCTGAATTTCATTTTGTAGCCTGCTTGTTAGTACCTTTGCAAGGATTTTCAAACTGCAGTTTTGCAGGCATATTGGCCTGAAGGCATCAACTGCAGTTACACCTGGCTTCTTTGGCAGCAAAACCATGTATGATCTATTGAGCCGCTCCAATTGCACTGATTGCTGATGGAACGCAAACATGAAGTCCATGATGTGCGCCTTCACTGTTTCCCAGACTGCTCTGTAGAAACCTGGTCCAAAACCATCAGGGCCCGGTGCACTGTTCCTATTCATCGCCATGAGGGCCTGCTTCGTTTCTTCTTCCGTGAACTGAGCTGTTAGTGCAGAAGATGGTCTTGGCCTTCCCTCATATCGCTCATCTATGTTCATTGGCGTTGAGTTACCTGATTGGCCGATGATTCCCTTGAAATATTCAGTCAGTGCCTGAATTTTGCCTTCGTGGTTTGTTATGTCAGAGCCGTCAACCTGTACTACTCTGATGCAGTTGTGTCTCATGCGTAGAGTTGCTTGTGCATGATGATATGCTGTATTAGCGTCGCCTTCTTTGATTGCACGTTGTTTACTTCGTTGTTTCCAGTATGCTGCTTTCTCCTTCAGTGCTTGTGTGAGACATTCCTGCACCGCTGGACGGACCTGAAACTCTTGCACAGAGAGGCAACGGGTTTCTTCGAAGTAGTCGAATAGTTGAATCAGGAACTTGCAATTTGGAATGAGAGTGGGTGGTGCCCTGTTACACCGAGACCAAACCTTTGCCGCCGCTCTGGTCACCTTGGTGCACTCAACAAGCTGTCCAGCAGGATCCGCACAAGAAGGCGCCTGCTGCCAAGCCGGGAGAACGGATGGGAGAAAGGTTTGGTTGCGCAGCCACGCATTTTCAAAGCGGAAGAAAGCCGGTTTAGGAATAGATGTAGACATGGATAGAAGTATCGGCGTGTGATCCGAGGTTGGTTTAGGGAGTGGAGAAAGATTTGTCGATGGGAAGGACAGGCTATTCGGTCTGCTCGTAGTTGGTGAAGGCACGGTCTAAGCGAGCAAGCGTCGGTGCCGGCTGCATGTTCGACCAAGTGTAAAGTTTATCATTAAGGTGCACCTCAAAGATGTTGAGGTCCTGAATTGTGTCATTAAAAAGGTTTGCTAAACTTTGATTGAAATTGGGCCTGTTCTTATCATCTCTAGAACGTGTCAGATTGAAATCTCCGATCAGCACCCATGGGACAGAAAAAATGGCGGCAGTAATTTTAGGTTGCTCAAAAAAGCGGCCCAGTCTCTGTGGTCTGAGGGTGCGTAAACATTAGTGATAACAATGTCATTGTCCGAGATATTAGAGCTCAGCACAGTTGATAGGGTGTGGTTATCTTGATGGGTGAACGAGATGGAGAAGTAGGTTGGATCCCAGGCAGTTAGGATCCCTCCCCTGGCACCATCAGAGGCCACAAAAGTAAAAGAATTTGCAAATTTAGAAGGTAGGAAGCTTTTGGCTTTGAAAATGTATGAGTTCTTGTCAAGACTCAAGAACTGACCACATTTTATCCTTCTAGCTCTAATAAGAGGCCGACGTGCTCTAAGCTTCCTCAATCATTTTCCCTAAATTAGAGAACTAAATAAATTAGAAGCTTAGGCCTGTTCGGCTGGTATTAAAGCCGGCTGATAAGCCGGTTGAAACTGTTTTGTTATGAGAAAAAAATACTGTAGCTGATAAGCCGGCTGATAAGTTCAAGCGAACAGACCCCGAATGTTTCGTCATCTCCAAGTTTGTTTTGGAACTTTCTACCTCTAAATTAGAGAATGCTGAAGTAGAAGCTTGACACACTTATCACACATGCATGTTTTACTTGTTACATACGCTTTCTCACATAGCACGTAAGAATCTCGTCTACCTCACTCAACCTAAAAAAACAAATATCAATGTAGGCTGATTTACCTCGTGGCGCCGCGTAGGATGACTGATGTGACGACATATTAGATAAAAATCTTTCCAAAACCACATGGTAACAAACTCGAATGTTTTTAAAAGCTAGACAACCACCCTAGTAGCAAACTCAAATGCTATCAAACTTCAGCGGCAGTAGAGGAAAGTAAAATATTTTTTCTCTTATTTGCCAAAAGATCTGCTTTGCTACCTAGGCCGATGGCCCATCTTGCCGAAACATCCACTTTGCTACCTAGGCCGATGGCCCATCTGACGGTCCAGATGCGCTCAGTCGCCCCCACCCCACGATTCGAATTTCAAAAATCATGGAACCCGCACGAGCCAGGGCGGAACAAAATGGAAAGACGTTGGACACTTGGGCGAAAGCAGAGCGAGCAGCCGACCGTTGCTGCGGGCGTCTACCCTACCCCACATGCCAGTCACACGACCCGCGCGCACGCCGCTTGACTTTACTCGACCGGAGCGGAGCGCAGAGCACCTCACTCGCGTCGCGTCCACCCCACAGATCTCACCGTCAAAGATGGCCCGCTGCGGCGACAGAGACATCGTGACGGCGGCAATGTCGCGGCAGCCTTGGCGCCGCCGCCACGGATGGCAGCTCCCCCTACACCCGCTTCAGGTTCGCGTGCAAATTCCATCCGGAAAAGTTCCTCTCTCCTAGCAATATGCTGTCCTCACTCCTCAGAGCTCATGTCGCCTCTGTCTTTCTCGCCGCGTGTGCGCAGCTGGTGGCCGCGTCAGTGTTCGCGCTTCTCGTCGCCGCCTTCTACGTCGTCCTGGGGCCCTACATCGGCAACACCCTCGCCGGCAATATCCTCCTCGGCACCTTCTCCTTCTCGGTTCGCACATCTATCTCAGCATTGACGGAATCATCACAACTTCTTTTTTGCGCCGGTCTGGTCGTCTTTCGGATGCTGAATCGATGATCTGTTCCGCTCCAAACAGGCCGCGGCAGCGGCGGTGCTCTACGTGCGCTGCACGGCGGTGGACCCGTCCGACCGGACTGATGCGAAGAAGACCAAGCGGCGGCGGCAGCTCGCGCGGGGCGGCGGGACCACGGCGAAGCTGCCGCGGCTGCGGTATGGCTACATCCTGTGGCGCTACGCGGTGCGGTTGCTGCGGCGGGTTGAGGCTCGGGTCACCAACCGCTGGGTGCGGCGGAGCTACCTTGAGCAGTGGAACACCAGCGTTCAGCTCGATCCCATGCTCCCCTTCGCCTTCACCAGCCTCGATGACATTGTCTCGCCATGCGCCACTGCCGATGGGCACGACATCTCCTTCTGCCCCATCTGCGACTGCGAGGTATTTGCTTGATTCTTCCCCTCTGCGCATAGGTGATGATATGGCTCTGCTCGTTTCAGAGGATAAACACAGCAGCAAATGACATTTAGTTCGATGTGGATGGATTAGTTTCCAACTTCGAATATGTCAGATGAATTGAATGCTGACATTGTCTGTGAAACTCCAAACCTTGTATTTACTATGACAGAAATGATATTAGCATGAGAATTCTAAATGCTTGTACTTCTGTTACTATGCCGAAACGAACTGAATGTCTGAATCCATGGAATGTTTGTCAAATTCTGTTTCTGTTTTTGGGAATTTGCAACAATTACCCAACAATCTAAACAGGAATTGAATTGTTCTACAGGTGAAGTTGCGTAGCAAGCACTGCAAGACCTGTGAGCGTTGATGGATTTGATCACCACTGCAGGGTAACCACCAAAACTTACATATTAACTAAACTCCAACTCCCTGTTTTTTATATTTTTCTTAATCACAGTCCTCCAAATGCCAAGTGAATTAATCTTTTATGCTTTGTTTTGTACAGTGGCTAAACAATTGCATTGGAAGAAGGAACTATGCAACATTTATTCTGCTTATGTTCTTTGTCCTGCTGATGGTGGGCGCTAACGTTTTTGCCATCATTTTAGTTTCTCATCTCTTGAATTTGACTAGTACTAATTAGCTGATGATGACACACAACTTTACCAGCTTGTAATTGAGGGAGGAACAGCAATTGCGATCTTCATCCGCTGCTTTGTCGACAGCAAAGGGGTGAAAATGGAAATGGAGCACAGACTGCACATGAGGCTCCCAAAAGGAGCTCATGCAGCACTATCGGTAAGTACATGAGGCATACACATGGAATTAAACATGACTTCTGTATTTCTTAGTTCTTGACTCAAAATTTTATCTGCAATTTTGGCCACAGATGGCTTTTGTCATCTTCACATTGTACAGCACTGCAGCGCTGGGCCAGCTCTTCTTTTTCCACATGGTGCTCATTAGAAAGGTGAGTATTCATTACTGGTATAGTTTCAGCAAATATGATCATATCCATGTGAATAATAGTTCAGTAGTATTGTGATTCATGTTTAGTGTTAAGTATCTTTTTGCTTATGAAATAGAGCAATTTCTTCTAAGATATAAAATGGTCGGTAATTACTTTCTCAATCACTGCAGGGCATGAGGACCTACGACTACATTCTTGCGATGAAGGAAGCAGGAGCAGCATTTGACCCATTCGAAGACTCCGACTCTGACGAGAGCATCGACTTTGACTCACCAGAGAAGCCATCTTTCTTTTCAAGGGTTTTTTGCAGAAAAGATGAAGTGAATGAAGTAAGCAGCTTTTTTTTTAAAGACCGAAGTGTAAGCAGCTATTAGTTGCAGCACTACTGCTGCTGCTGCTGTATACTCATTACCAGTCAGTGAACCGTTTAATAATAACAAAGCTCACTTCAAACATGACACAGAGTGCTCGGAAGCTTCAGGAAGTCAGGATCGAGAGCGACCAAATGGATGCTTCAGGAAGGAAGGATGACATCCAGATCAACCCATGGACATTGATCAAGATGAGCAAGGAGAAGGCGATGGCAGCCGCTGAGCGCGCACGCGAGCGAATCAGACAGAAGCTGCCAACATCACCGATGAAACCACTGCCGGTGGAGACAAAGCGAGGCCCTCTGAACCCAGAGAGAAAACACATCACAACTGGGAAAGAGATCGTACCGGTCTTCACCAAGAGCTGGCTGTCGGTGTCGCCCACAGCAAGGATCTCGACCCCCAGGAGGCGATTCTCAGGGTCATCGTCGCCTAAGCCGCAGAGGTACAGAAGCAACTTCGACCTGAGGCTCGCCGAGGTGTCGAGGGATCTGGAGACCCACATCTCGAAGCAGGTGCTATGCTCCATCGTCATGAAGGGTGTCGAGGACGAAGGCTATTCGTCGTAATTTAGGTGGGGTGTTGTATGTTTAGTTCACAAGTTTCATTGGTATTTTTTGGTTCTTGAGAATGGTGTGCTGTGCTTGCTTAGCATGATGCTGTCAATTCTCATTACATAGTTATTAGCATGATTCTTTCTGTTCCATAAAATTTGTTCAAGCACATTATGACAGCTATGTGAATCAGATATCTGATCTTCAGAACTGAAGATTGATCACTATCTCCACTTGTTAGTATAATGCGCTGGCTTGAATCTACACAAGCATTCATTCACTCATCACAGCCTCAGCCCTCAGGATGCCAGGCCTACCATCATATCTCCTGATACGGTAGTGTATGATCGTTTGTAATCCTGTCTCATCTTATCTCTAAGGCAGGTATGTAATGTTATTCTACATAATCCGCCCAAAAGGATCAGTAATCTAATCAACAATTTCATCAACTCCTGTCTCCTAGATGGTACCATAAGTTCATTGATAGATCCTAGACCATAAACCCTAAAGCTTTTGTTTCTATGCGCGCATCAATAAAAAAGACCTTAAAATTATATATACGACAACAAAGATCTTTTCAAGAAAAAGATGCAATATTTTTTGACTAGGCTAATATTAGCGTAAAGCCTATAGACACGGAGCAAGGGTTATGTACGGTTGAATCGTCTTTCGAATGATCACTTCTTCTAGTACTTGATTAGGGTCTCAAATGTGCCAAACCCTCTTCCTAATTGTTTGCCGCCTAAGAACCAACCAGATCATGCTAGCACTGCTCGCAGTGCGTCTTGGATCCGACGTGGTTCTGTCTTCATGAACTTCTTTTGATACCTCTCCTGCTAGGGTTGGCCGGTTGGGCATTCGGTCTACTCGAATTGAACCGATGAGTTCTTCGGTTACTTTGAAAGTTCGCCCATCTAAAAACAGAGACCAATAAATTAGTTTTAAATACCAGGACTAAGCAAGTTCGATCTCAGTTAGTTTGATTCAATCACGGTCATGAAACTCGTGATCGAACTAACTGGACCAGACTAATAGCCACAAAACAGCAGATTTTTTCGCAAATTTCAGCAAATATGACAAGACAACACGTAGATAAAACAAAATGATAAGAGTGATAGTCGATACAAATCGATCAAAATATAACATCACTAATAACAATCCAAAGTATGCATTCTGAAGACAAAGTTTGAATGTTGTAGGTTAGTTTGGTTACCCAAGATATATAATCGAACTAACCGTAAGAGATTCGGTTAGTATAGACTCGGGACCGAACTTGTCGGTGCGAAAAGTAACCAACAAGTAAATATTTATAGTTTTGCCGTACGTTGTGATCGGATGTGGCCTAGCACTCAATGACACAGGTTTTATAATGGTTTAGTTAACGTGCCCTACGTCCAGTTCCAGTCGATCGTGGACTTTATTTCTGAGCCCAGGTGCTCGGAGTTTGCTGTGCGGTTACAAACGAATAGGAATAAGAAGGCGGTGTCGAAGGTCCAGTCGAACTCCAAACCGTAGGGCCAAGAGTGACGGGAGCTCCAACGTGCGCTAAGTATTGGAACGTATGCTTTGTGTAGCTTTAGAGTTCTAGAGCTGTGGAGCTGTTCGAGTGCTCAGAATGTCTAAAGCTAGCAGAGAGAGAGTCGGAATGACCATCCTTTTTTGGGAGAGAGTGCATCCCCTTTTATAGGTGAAGGGGATGGCCTTACAAATGAGAGAGAGAGAGAGTGTGTGTGTGTGCGTGTTTCCTAGTCTTGTTACCCACGCCGTCGGGTACAAGACAGTTTTGTCGGCGTCCACAATACTGTTGACGCCCAGATGCATGTGGCAGGCTCCATCGTGTTCTTCTGTTATGGCAAATATCGGCGCCTACCATACTGTAGGACAAATGTCGGCGCCCACAACACTGTTTGTGTTCTGACATGTCTGAAAGGTTGCAAAGCACCCTTCTGGCATGGTCTGGCGGTACTGTCCGGCAGGTGTGCTGCGTACGGTCCTCGGTATTGCAGTTGACTTGAGCGCCTTGCCTTATCTGCTCCGCCTGATTCTTGGGTCCTTACTGAGCGGGTGTCCCCGGTCGGCCGTTCCTAGTCGGCTCCGACCTCGCCGGTCGGAGAAGAGCCGTAAGCAGAGGTTTGGTGTATTCCCGGTCGAAAAGCGGGTCGGAGTCGGAAGCGAGCGTCGTCCCCTCCTTGGCCAGGCCTTCCGGTCGGAGACTGGATCGCTCTTCTGGCCTGTCGTTAGGTATCTGGGCTGGCCCAAGAGTCACACGTCGTTGTAATGCCGTTTGCCAGGCCGAGTTTTTACTGCGAAGCGGGCCCATCGGGGACCCTGGGTTTATGAACCCGACATGAGCCTCCGAGCCCTTTTGGGACTTCTGTGAAGTCGTGAAGGGGCTGTTTATACTCGTTGTACGAGAGCAACGGATGGGTATAACATCGTGAGTCTCCTTCGGGAGCGACGGAGCGTGGACCCATGCGTCGGGCATGGCCGAGGGGTCGGGCACGATGGAGCGTGGACCCATGCGTCGGGCGTAGCCGAGGGGTCGGGCGCGACGGAGCGCTGACCCAGGCATCGGACCGACGAACCAACATGTTGATCAGCGGTCATACAGGGTGTAGGCAGCATAGTGACCATGCGTCCATCACTGTGGGTCGATGTGAGTCCCCTGGAACGTCGTGTCGCGGGGACGGGTCATGCTGAGACGCGACCGCTCCCTATACGATGTTAGAAGTTTGACCTGGGGTTGTACTTTATGGCCCGTAGTGGTTGGCGGTGGTGCGAGCTTCCATTATGGACCGTGTCCGAGGGATCGGGCGAAGCGGGGCCAGCCCTCAGACGTCGAGTGAGGCAAAGCCAGCCCCCAAACGTCGGCCGAGGCGGAGCCTACCCTCAAGGGTCAGCCGAAGTGGAGCAAGCCCTCGGGGGTCGGACGAGGTGGAGCCCAGCAAGGGGCGTGGCCTTGGTGGTCTTAGGAATCGCCTGGGGGATTTTTTGACTTGCCAGCAGATGCGCACGAGCGCACCCGGTGGGTGTAGCCCCGAGCCCCGGGCGATTCGGGTAGAATTGCCTGTGGGATTTTTTGACTTGCCAATGTCCTGAGCCATCATTTCTGGGGGCGTGGACCCAGGCGTCGGGCGCCAACCCAAACATTGAGCGTGGCTGGGGGGTCGGGCGCGATGGAGCACGGACCCAAGTGCCGAGCGTGGCTGAGGGGTTGGTCTAGTTTCGTGCGTTACCCCATCCGTGGTTTCCGCAACTGAAGGGGCTGAGCTAACGTCGCTTGCCTCGATGACTCAAGTGACGCGCTCGGTGAGCTCTCTAACGGGTACGTCCGAGTGGAATCTAGGTCCGTTGTTCGTAACAGGGTAGGCATAGCCCTCATGTGGCATTCCACTGCTCCTTAATCCGCCTCCCGACAGATGCCTAAGCCGTTTTGGAGACCGACTCTAGTGGCCCGCTGGCCTCCCCTCGATGGAGATTCTATGGGCATGGCTCAAGGTTAGGATCAAACGAGAAGGTCGAGATGACCCTATCTGCTTCTGAGCAGATCGGGCGAGGGCCGCTGGGACTCATCTATGTTTTCTCCCCTGGCTCTGTTTGACGCGAGGCAACCTCGAGCCCTTCGTGGGCCAGCCTTCTAACCTCGGTCGGTCGTCGCTCATGTCGAATGAGGCGACTACCGCTCCGTGACGCAACACGAAGCGTTGTGATGCATCAATTGCATATTCAATGCTTTGGATGTATGGGATGAATGAATGATTGCATGGATGAATATGTGAATGCGTGTATGAGGAAGGATGAATGAATGTTTATGCATTAGAAAATAAAATAAAGTATGAAGGTTTGGTAAAGATACCTTGATGACTCGAGTGGCAGGTTTGAGGAGCTCTTATCGGATATGTCCAGATGGGATCCGTGTCCATCATTCGTGACATAGTCGGCGTAGCCCGCATGGGGCATCCTACTGCTCCTTACCTATCTCTCGGCTATCGCCTGAGCCGTTTGATCGACTCAGTTAGCCCGTTGGTCTTTCCTTGATGGAGATCCTATTGGTGGGCCCTTCCAAACCCTGCCTGGGAAGGCGGAGGGTTGTTTGCATATGGTTGCGCCTTGTTTCCTGCGCCTGGGTTGTGGTAGTGGTGGGCCCAACCCAGGCCATGTCCCGTTTTAACCGGATGATGTTTCATTGGGTAGGACGTGTTCCATCAGTCAGGGTGCATCCCACCGCATGCTTATCCATCTTAAATAGGGGAAGCAAGAGGGTTTTCGTCCCATTCCTTTGCCTTTCTCCACCTGCCGCCTCTCCTCCTTCTTTCTCGCCAAGCCCATTCGTGCGCCGTGGTGGTTTCTAGGAGAGAGAGGGTAAAGTGAGGGAGAGGAGAACTCATAGATTTGTTCGTGAATCCAGAGCATGATATCGAACTAGAGGCCATCCAACGTAGAGGAGGCGGTGCTAGCCGCCTTCATCGAGAAGGGGCTGCTCCCGCCGAAGGAGGTGGCGCATTGGAGGGCTCCAGCACCAGGGGAAGCTGTTCCACGACCATAGGCCGATGAGGTTGTCTCCTTCCTCGCCTTCCATGAGCGCGGGCTTGGATATCCCGCGCACTAGTTTTTGCGTGGGCTCCTCAATGAGTGGGGCCTGGAGCTGCAGCACCTCAATCCGACTGGGGTGCTGCACATTGCCAATTTTGTCACTATCTGTGAGGCCTTCCTCGAGATGGAGCCGCACGTGGACCTCTTCTGGCGGATCTTCACCGGGCAAGATTTGTCAGAGGGAAAGCCACCCAGAACCGCACCGGTTGGGGGCTTCTCCTTGTAGAAGAAGCCGAGGCCGTCGGGCTCCTACCCCACGTACTCCCCCTGTGACTCTAATCGGGGGTGGTATGGCGAGTGGTTCTACATCAGGAACCCAACGGAGGCACCATTCCTGCCATTCACCGAAAGAAGGCCGGAGAGGCGAGAGAGCTAGTCGTGAGGTCCCTTTAGTCGGTAGAACAAGCTGGAGGTCATTGAGG